TAAGGTCATTTCGGTCAACCGAAACTCTATTTTGGTCTACCGAAACAACCTCCCCTCAAAAACATGTTTTCAGGAAAATGTATGTCCAATTCGGTCGTCCGAAACTCTATTTCGGTCAACCGAACTAGCCCTCATGCACCTACCTTCCAGATTTTGTTTTAGCTTTGATGTTCTAACTTCAAAGGGTCATAACTTCTTCATTTCTAATCCAAATGGGATGATTCTTGAGCCTAAACTCAAGGATTTTGAGTCAACTTTCCAATGGTACCTATACCATTCTCAGATTCAAATCACAGTGGGAGTTATTCATATTTTAGTGAGATAGTGTCAGTTTTCGCTTAAACAGGGAAAGGGCATTTTGTGGGATTCTTGGCCAAAGTTCTTATAACCTCTTGGAATGTTGTGAAATGATTAGATTAGGTTGTATTCACCTTATTTGACTTGTTTAGAGTCAATTTTCTCCTTTTATTTGTGAATTGATCATTTTGCCCTTTTTATTGGATTTTACCCGTTTTAACTCTAGTTTCTTCTTTCGCTCTCCTTAAGTTCCGTGACATCATGGAATGTCACATTAGTGCCTTAGAGATGATTTATATCTCAAAGGACTATGGTTTTATCTTTTGCTTCCGCATTTTGGATCCGTTATCGGGTTAACTTTCGGGTCATCACTGATGCACCGGGTTGAAAAACTTGGGCCGTCACAGTATTACTTGTTGGGTATGTCCTACATTTAGTAAAGGACACAATTAAAGGGATTACCTTTATTAGAGCTTTGGTGTGTGCTGCCAAAGTAAGTAGAATATTTGTATTAATAGTAGACTCGCACATTGGAGTTTGAAGGTTTAAAAATGAGTCTTTACTCAAATTGTCTCCCATTGGGGGAATAATGTTGATTAGAAAGGAAATGAGGTTATCACCTCACTATGTGAAGATTTATGTTTTATTTATTAGGCAAGCCTATAGTGGGCAATGATATAAATATGTATTTTGCGCCATATGTAGAAAAAGAGATTTTTATGTATTTTGCTGCAAGAAAATACACAATGGGAACGTTTACCAACGCATATAAATTGGTGAGATTAAGTTGCAAATAAATGCAATGAGCATAGATAAGCTTGACGTAGTTTTAATAAAATGAGATATGTGTTATGTCTGCTAATTATGGGTATGGGGGATGGAGTTAATTCGACACGGAAAAAGGCAAAATGGAAATTTGGGATAAATAACCAAAGTTTTCATTTCATAGATTCGTGTATTCCGAGGATGTTAGGGTGAAGAATGTAATATCCGTATATTTTAAAGGATTTAATAAATTAATTTAATTGCTTTTAATTTGATTAAGTTGATTTGTTTGATTTAATTACGTGTTTTATTTAATTGTCTTGTTTTATTTAAATTATATTTTTAATTAAATTATATTTCGTATTTTACTTGTTGATTTGATATAATGTTTTGCTTTGTGAAATGTCATGATTGGGTTGTTTATTTGACTATGTGTATGTTTATGCTTCTGTGATTTAATTGTGAATTGTTTGTAATTAATAGATTTAATTTAATTATTTTATTTATTTAAGTTAATTGGCTTGGGCTTAAGGGAAGTTGGACCAATGGATGTAGTCTTGGACTTGAATGAAGTCTTGTTGAGTTAATTAATAAGGACCCATGGTTATGAAGATATTTAAATGATTATTTTTTCATAATTATATATATAGATATACTTAATTAATGATTATTATGGAATGAAATATATATATATATATATATATATATATATATATATATATTGTATTATTTAAGATTATTATTATATATTTAAATTAACTAGAAATAGGATTAGGTATACACGTGTCTATATATACATATAAGGTTATATTGTTAAAAAGATTTTCACATTAGAAAAATAAGAGAGGCAGAGAAAGAGAGTGAAAAAGAAGAAGGGAAGGTTGACTAAGAGGAGGCCGAATTAGAGAAAGAGCAACGCCGGCAACAAGGAAGCTGCCGGAATTGGAAGAGACAACCAAGGCTTGGGCGTTGATTTCGTTTCGAAACATTCAGGCTAGTTCTTTTCTATTTCTTCTCTTAAGACCCATAAATCTTTCACCTTGGGTATCAAAACTTTAGGTTATAATTTGCTGATTAAACTATTATTAAATCGTAATTTTTAAAAACATTAGAATTATTATTATTTTTAAAATTTTTGGATTTTAATTGTTATAAATATGTGTTGTATATATTTTTAAATCAACCTTTAACCTTTAATTATAGCCTAAGAAGGTTAATTAAGGTTTCTGGAATTTTTATGAATTTTTCCTGGGTATTTTTAGAATTTTTTGAGATTTTTAAAAAAAAAAAATTCTTGTACTTCCGGTGACGAATCTAGCGACTGAAATTCGAGAAGATGGCTATTGATCTGGTGTGATGCGGCATAGGGAGTTACCATACGCGCGGATCAAGGCCGTTATGGAAAGGGCGCTGATCCAGTGTGGCGCGCATGGGTGAGCCCATTAGAGTTATCTAATGCGGGCGCGCTCATGAGAGCATAAAGGATTCACCCAATCAGAATGCACCAGCACACACAGAGGCTTGGATCCGACGCATGGGAAGCACGTGGGCGCGCGTGTTAACCCCTGTTGCCCTGTTTTGACACTTAAAATTGAAATGGTCATAACTTAGTCATTTTAAATCCAAATGGGTTCGTTCTTGAGCTCAAACTTAATGATTTTTCATCCTCTTTCCAATGGTACCAATTTCATTATCAGATTCCTATCATACTAGGAGATATTTACGTTTTAGTGAGACGGTGTCAGAAAATTATTTAAACCGAAATAGAATATTATGGAAGGATTAATATTAATTAATAAATTTTAATTTTATATATATATATATATATATATATATATATATATATATATATATATTGTTATTTATAGTTTGGGACTTGAGGAATTTATTTATTTATTATGTTTGATGTTGTATATTGTAAATATGGATAAAATCTTATTAGGATTGGTTTTGCTTAGAGATAATCTATTTATGCGTTAACACAGTGGACCCAAAGTAACAATTTGACCATTGAAGTTCTGTCTTGGCCAAAATATAAATGAATTTTGAGTCAAATTGACTTGTGTTTCAAGTTGAAGACACACCACAGATTCTGAACTCAGAATGTTTTGCTAGACAGATATTAGTTTTTTTTTTTTTTTTTTTTTGGTATATATATATTTTCAGATAAATACAAATATATTCAAAACTACCCAAAAAAAATAAAAAAAAATACTACTAGTCTGACAAATTATCAATGTTTTGCACGTAGTAGTTTACTACGTAGTATTTATTTATTTGGGTTAATTACAACGACATCCTCTGAGGTTTACCATATTGACAGTCATATACAACTTAGCCATTTTTTAGACAAAGACACCCCTCAAGTTTGCAAACGTGAACAATGATACCCAAACATGATGAAAGTATATGTTTACCCTTTGACCTTGTAAAATGACCAAATTACCCTCAATCAAAAATCTCTTCTTCCAAATTTTCCATCTTTCCATTCCTGTGAGCCCTTTCTTCCCCACCGTCCATCAAAGCCGCCACAGCCCACAGCCGAGCTCATCACCGTCCCGTTATCACCCTCTTCCGAGCCATCCACAGCCGCAATCCATTACCCTCTTTGAGTCACATATGGTCTATTTGATGATTAGAACTAAAGCCCTAATATTTCAGTTAGTGTAATGTAGATTATTGAGTCAATTTACAGATAGATTGAGCAAGGGTTTGGGTGAAAAAAAAATTGCAGAAAAGATATCAGGGGTGGTGCATAGTGTGTGGAGATGATGGTGGATGGGTAGAGAGAACTCCATCTTTTCCGGCGTATTACATTCTTGCCGTTGTTTGCTTGGAGCATAGAGAGGTTAGAGAGAGAGTACAGGGTTTGAGAGAGCTCGCTGTTATTATCCGTAAGCTCACAGCCGAAGCCGCAACCAGCCCATCGCCGTCACAGCCATCCCATCTCCACGTTGGGGTTCACAAGCCCATCGCCGTTCCGAGCCGAACCAGCCCGTCGCCCACGGCCCACCTGTCTGCCGTCCCCATTTCCCCACCATCCGAGCCGATTGCCATCAAAACTAAACTCGCAGCCGCCTCCATCAAAACTGATCTTTTTCTTCACAGCCGACTCCTCCACGGTCGTCGCCTTCTCCACAGCCGCAAGCCACCTTCGCCATCATCCACAACCGAGTCCACCGCCACTGCCATCTTATTGCGAACCAGACCATCACGGTTGAGTCCTCCCTACAGCCCATCGCCCCTGCCCGAACCAGCCTGTCCTCACCGTCTGTGCATTTTGGGTGGACAGCTATGGAACACATTTTTTTGTCAAATATTTTATTCATATAAGGCTGTGTTTGGTCAGGAGGGACGAAAGGAGAAACGATAGAGAGATAGATGAGATGAGAGGGTAGTTTGGTCATTTTAGGTGAGAATTAAAATATATCTTAGGGCATATTAGACATTTCATATCACTTGAGGCTGTGTTTGGTTCCGTTTTTTAAAATGGGATATCATTATTCAAGTTTGTAAACTTAGGGGGTGTCTTTGTTCAAACACGAATTAAGTTATATATGACTGTTAATATAGTATATCTTATGAGGTGTCATTGTAATTAATTCTATTTATTTTATATCAAATTGAATCCTTAGTTGTCAAGATACCTCACCTGCTCGTCCAGAACCTACTGGTCCAAGTCCATTCTAACTGCAACGTGTTCGCTTGCGTGGAAAATCCACACAGTCAAATTAGAGTCACGGCCTGTCATGACAAGCATTATCACATCGAATAAATAAGTGGCACGTATCACCAATTTATGTAAGACAAACGGTAGATCTGATTCCCATCCAGATCTACGGCTGTCACATATTGCTGTTAACGACAAAAAAATGATGAATATTTTCCCAACCGCCGAAATAAAATCAGTTTATATATATATATACAAAAATATATGTTTATATGTATATACACTTCTTCTCATACACGTAACATTGTCCTTGCCCTTTAATTCCGACTGGAAAATCTCTGCAAAATTTCCGGGAAAAATCGATCGGAAAGCAGGTTTGAAAATCGGTCGGTATCTCTCAATTTTCTTCCCCAACTTCCCTCGCAGCACATTTAATTTGTTATTTTTAGATTTTGATTCAACATTGGATTGGGTGTGCGCTTTGGAATTGAGGCTCTTGCTTTTTTTGTGAGGCTCGTTAGTTTTTCTATGGTTTGAAGGCCTTTATTCTCAGTATTTATAGTTGCAATTTAAATTTTAGAATGTAGCATTATCGACCTATTGTTTGTGATTTAGAGATAACTATTTCTTTTGTTGTTGTCCTTTGTTTCTTGTAGGAGTAAATTATGTTTTTTAGTAATTTATATATGTGTGTTTGAATTATTTTGGAGGTCTTTCATGTTAACTAGTGTCATTATGTGAGCTGATTATATTCCAGTTATTCACACTACATTTTTTATTCGCTTTGAATTTGGAAGTAAGTTGTTTGGGTTTCTTCACTTATCAAAAAAAAAAAGTTGTTCGGGTTTCTTTACAAATTTCCTGGTGATTATGCACTTGCAGTGTGACATTGGATTTGTTGAGGGTTATAACTTGAAATAGTGGGGTTATTACTTGCAAAGATTGGGAAAAAATGTCTATGGAAGACTTTGTAGATTTTGTCGATAGCTTCAGCTAGGAAAAAATGAAGAAGATAAAATAGTGTTGCACATGGAGTAGTTATAATGGGCAATAACTTGAATGGGTTTGAAGGGTTTATCTTCTTCGCGGGACTTGTTATCCTGACATGTTTTGTAAATGTAAGAAATGCGAATCTGGAAAAAGAACTGCAATCTCAGATTTTATCATTATATATGTTCTGAAGGTTAATTTAGGAATCAATACCAATAGTGCTATGGGATCTTTGGTTGTTATAAATTACAGGTGTACACATGTGGAAGATAGGACTTAAATGAATCCGCTTTGAGATAGTTTAGAGAACATGTATACTAGACTATTGACAAACTAGGCTGGTAGAAAATAACACTTGTCTGCTTGATGGATGGATGAGGAACTGTGTTGTATTATTATCTTTTATTGTCGAATTGGTTGAACTGTTGAAGATTTTAGATGCCATTACTTGACTTAATGTATTTTTATCCATATTATTTGGTGTTAGTTACATTGACCATGTTCCTAAAAGGTTTAAGGAGTAAATTTCCCCATGGTTTGCTTTGCCATTAAAAAAAGCACGGAATAGAGTTTTCCAGAAGCTAATTGATGGGATTTTTCCCCTTCCTTTGTCTTCTGGAGAGAATGAGTTCCCAAAAAAAATTGGTGTCAGTGAAATAACATCTACAAAGAAGCTCTTAACAAGTGTAATGGCATTTTGTTTTCTTTGGTAAAGCGTGTAGTGGCATTTTTATAATGAGTTGAAGAGAAAAATTGTTTCATTAGCCTACTGTGTGTTTAGCTCAAAGGTTGGGCGGCTTGGGCCATGGCGGTTTTGGTAAAGGTTAAGAATGGAAGGTACCTATTAACCAGACCCAACCGTTGCAATACTTGAGAGGTAAAGAGAATCATGACTTTTGTCACTGCTTATTACTGAATAAAATTAAAATTTTTAGATGAAGTTCTATTAGGAGGCTGCTTTGCTCTTGTTATTACCAATTACTTGGGTGGTTAATGGGACTACAACCTAGATGCACAATTAAATTGCGCAATGATTTCTTTGCAATTCAAGGCAAGATAGATGCAAAACTAAATTGTGGATGGGTTTTGGATGCCAAGTGTTTCAGAATAAGTTGGAAAGTAACACTTTCTATGCATCTCTATTGACTGTCTGCTTTATGGAGAAGCAATACCAAGGTAATTCTATAATTATGGGCATTCTGTCCTAATATTTGCTTGCTACTTTGCTAGTGACTATTAGTGGTTGCTGTTGGAAAGTAGGCCATTAATATTGATGAGACTATAATGATAAGGAATATTACAGGAGAGCATCTTTCAACAAATTAGAGTTGGTGACTGCAGGTTGTGAAATAAAACTGGTATTAAGATTGTAAAAAATTCATCAAGATGACTAGAGATTGCTAGTTCAGAAAGTAAGAGTAAATTAGTACCTTCTCATTGGGGCACAGTGTAAGACCAGAAAGTATGAGTAGAATTTCTGTACACTTTCAGTAACTCATGCTTTGATGTTCAGATTTATCCTTGTATAACCCAGGCAAAAGAATAATTATTGTTGATGTTGTTTGTGCCATGCCATAATTAGGTGTTATTATTTTCTGTGGTGGCAACTGAAAATTTTCCTATGAGGGATCATGCATTTTCCCCTCGAGACAGTAGATGTGACTTGTAAGTTGATATACAAAAGGTTGTGTGTTAGGTCAACCAACTTTCCCCTTTTTTTGTTAGTGTTACTTGCATCATGAAACAGTCACGTTGTCACCTTTCCTATACTGATTCTCTTACTCTTCCTTGCAATCTGGCCTCTTAAACTTGTTTGTATTTCTTCAAGTTGAATGGTGTGTGTTAGGTTTCAATTAGTGTCATTTTTTTCCCTTTCAGTTGAAGTATTGAACCAATTAAGGTTAGGGAAAACTGGCCTTTGACATAGGCATTAGATGTTTCAGAAGGAATTTTGATATTTTATTCTTCATGGTAGCAAGGAGGCATCCTCCATCTCATTGGTAATTTTAATATATGTGCAACTGTCTTATCAAATTAGATGGCTAATAATTTTAATATTTGTGCAACTGTCTTATCAAATTAGATGGCTAACTGTCTTATCAGATTACAACACTTTTATTTTTTGTGGTAATGGGATGGGTGATATTTTTGTTTTGAGAGTGAAATATCTTCATTTAGAATTGTAAATTTCTCATCTCATGTTTAATTGTTTGGACTTCATTAACTGTCTTAAAATTATTACTTAAGAATTGCGTTATATTAATTTTATAGAGCTATTGTAATCTACTTGTATCTGTGTGTTTGTGTGTGTGTGTTTTTTTTTTCCTTTTAGAATCACCTGTTGACTTTCTTTTCCATCTTCATTGTAGGTTTCCAGGCTTTGGCTCTTATAGTTTCTCTATTTCCTTTTACCCAGCGAGAAGTCATTGCTTACACTGTTTTCCTACAGTAATTCAAAGGATTCTCAAGGTTTATTGTGGGAGGCTTTTGGGCAGGATTTTCTCGGATGCAATATCATGCTTTGGAAGGATAGTTGATTTGTAAAGTCAAACTAATTTAATGGCCAAAAACAATAGGAGCATAATCGGATGTTCTTTAGTCTTCACTTGATGTGAAGTGTGGAATAAGTTCTGCACATCCTTAATCAAGCATAGTCTTTTTGCTGATGCATTAAGCGGTATTGATCATTAAGCTTGCTGATGGGATGGAAGAAGGGGGTTTTGTTTTCATTTTTTTTTCTTCTCTCTCTTGTCGAGTCTTCAGGCAGATCAGGTAAAATGTGGTCTATTAGCTTGGGTACTGGATCAACGTTATTCCACAGCTGGACAATCTGCAGCGCAAGCATATTCGTACTTGTTGCTCTTGTTCTGTCCATGTATCTTATATTCGAGCATTTAGCAGCTTACAATCAGCCTGAGGTTAATCTATTTCTTGAAATTATTTGTTGTTTGGCTCTTCTGTTTGCGTCAACTTTTGGCGCTAAGCACTATCGTTTTTTTTCTTTTCTTATTATGCTATATAATGGCTTCTGAATATGTGAATGCCATTGTAAGTTTCACTAATCATCCTATGTGGATTGTCTCCTGGTATTACTTTCTTTTTTGATTTTTCTTGTATCTAGAATTGATAGCATTGATGTTTGCTTTCAGGAGCAAAAATTCTTGATTGGACTCATTCTGATGGTACCTGTTTATGCACTGGAATCGGTATGAGGAATACTACCAATAATTTTCTGTTTTCATTTTCGTTCATTTTTTGCCTGTTTATACAAATTACTAATAAGAGTCTTATAGCTTCTATTTAAACTATTTTCCCAAAGGGATCTTAGTGTTTTAAGAGCCTGCTGGGATGCAACAGAAATGGGAATTCTAGTGGTGATATTTTACATTTTGAAATTATGCTGATTTGATTTTGCTGAAAAATTGGTAACAAATAAACACTGTCATATTTTCTCAGCGTGAAGAAATGCAAGTGTGCAGTGTGGAATGAACATATGTTGGCGTACATGGTGCTATTCCTTGTGTGTGCATGTGTTTTTTGTGGAGTTAGAATGGGGAAGGCATTCTTGTAAGGATGCATATAGGTAGTTTTGGTTTGGTTGGTTTGTGTTAGTCTCAAACCCAAAATTAAAGTGATGCTGGAGGGAACTAAATCAAACCAACCAAACAATAAGTCGGGTTGTTCTGGTTTGGGTGGAATGACATTGTTCGTTCACAAAACGGAAGTATAATGACAGCAACAATGCACATAAATATTCAAATGCCATTGCACATCTTAGATGGTTAGATCACATATAGAAGGAAGTTGGAGAAGGTGAAACTGATGTTTATTACTAATATGCATGACAAAAATAAAAATCTTAAAGATGGAATGCCCCATTATGACTTTGCATGATTGAGAAGAAAAAAGACAATGATGATGCAAATGAATGAAGTAGGGTCTCTCATGAAAAGTTGCTGAGGACCAAGAGAATGCTGGAATGGGAGTCATTGTGACGTTGAACCAAATGATGGAAGACGCGAAGTTTTTAATTAGGGCTTCAACATGTTTATTGGATGTGCTTTCTTTCTGTGTATCATTGACTTCATTGTCTACCTTATTAAAATACTCCAAACAATTAATTAACACAACTCATTCAAAAGTTAAAATTTATAACTAACATGGACTTGTAAGTAGGGATGGTAATTCGGCTTGCCCTGCTGGTCCCCATCCCACCTTGCCCCAGGTTTGAGGCAGTTTAAATAGGGTTGGGGTGAAGAAAAGGAAACCTTCATGTGGTCAAGGTGGGGTCGGGGAAGGTGTCCCTTGCCAATAATATCCTTTATTTTTAATTTCATTATTAAAGCATACAAAAAAATAATAGAAAATAAAAAACATTAAAAATTGGAGGCGGGGTTGGGTGGGGTGAAGTGAGGTGTCCTCAGGGAGGGATGGGGATGGGGGGCTTGTCTTAGACAGGGTGGGGTGGGAGCAGAGGCGTCTTCCCTAAACGGGAGTGGGGATACGAGGAGGCCGCTCTCTCCTAAGAATGAAAAGAAAAAATTAATAGATTAAGAACCATATGATTGAGGTGGTCTGTTCTCTGATTGGTTTAGGTGTAACACTGAACCTCTAACCCTGATTTAATTTGGTTTCTTATAATTTAAACCAAGATGGGATGGACGATGCTAGGGAACTGAACCAAGGCAACCATCAAAGTGGGATTGGTTGGTTCTCTGGGTGAATCTGACCAATTTTAACCTTTAATTTCTATAGGAACTAGGAGTGCCTAAGTATTATCATTTACTAAAGGATATCATCGTTACCAGCAATAGTAAGATGGAATTTGTTTTTTATTCAGGATTGAAGGTATGCGTTGTGCTTTTGATCATTTGTGATGCAGGATTTTCATCTTCAGCACCAAACAATTGATGGATCAAGATTTTGAATTTGAAGTTAAAAGAAGAAGGAACTATTAACCTGTTAAGGATTCTCAAAGTGGGGTCAATTGAGTGATTATATTGTTAGAAATAGATCTATGTAATTCTTGAATGTTGTACTGGAACATGTGATGCTGCTCTTGCCTTTGCTTTTCCCTTTTACCCAACAGTAACAGAGGGGGAAAAAAAAAAAGAAAAAAAAAAAAGAAAGAAAGAAAAAAGAAAAAAGAAAAAGGATGTTACCTCTACGTGGGGGTGTTGGGAGGGGAAGATTGGAGATGAACCTTTGACATCAATTTGCAAAATGTGGCTGATTTGTGACTTGAACCCGTGTCCTTATGATAGTTAGTTTGAGCTTTTTACCATTAGACCTTGCAATGATCCCTGTAAGAACAAGAAGTAATAAATAAAATAAGATATTAATCAAGAATACACGATCTGCAATTTTGATGGTGATGCATAAATTTATTTTGGCTTAACTTTCAACTGTTAAATTTTTATTTTACACGAGTTCCTTTCATAGCAAGGCGTCAGGTTGTTCACATATGTGTTTATCTTGTCATCTTTTTTCCAACTTCTAATTTATGGGGGTGTTGCTTTGAATTAGTTCAGACTAACTTTGATTAACTGGTTCTATATTATTGATTTCTAACACTATTTTTTTTTTCCCGAACAGTATTTGTCACTATTGGATTCAAATGCTGCATTCAACTGTGAAATAATCAGGGACTGTTATGAAGCGTTTGCATTATATTGCTTTGAAAGATATCTGATAGCCTGCTTAGGTAAGTCCAGAATACTCAATGGGTGTCTCCACTCTTTTCATTGACAACCATTTTTCATGGACTTGGTTTTTGGAAGATTCAAACAGTGCAGTTCTTAATTGATCTAACTTTTTTTCATTCCATTTATGTGGTATAAAAAAATATCGTCTTCTGATTGCAAGCCTTATTGAGAAACCTTCTCTTATTATTGGTAGATGTATTTATACGGATAATAAAGAATTTGGGTTGTGGTATCTATTCCACTTGGTTACAGTAGTACTCTTGACTCTTCACCTGTTAAGATGATTACAGAAGTTCAGAATCAACTATATAATATGTTTCATTTCTTTGATGTCACTTGCATTTCACTTCGTTTCATGAAGTAAATTTGAATACCATTCCTTTAACTTGCTTAACAAAGTCATTTTGATGCTGTTCCCTGGAAAGTATTCATTAGTATAATCAACCACAAAATTCGGAAATACAGAATAATGCAATGGTTGCAAATTCATATCCAGTGTCTTCCCTAATACTGTCATTCTATTTGTGTTGGCATGACAGTGTTATTGCCTATTGGTGTAATTGAGAGGGAATAACTATGGTAATTGGAAAAATAAGAAGAAAAAAAAAAATAAAAGAAAAGAAAAAGAAACAGAGGTGATGTGAGGTAAGGTGCATGTGCATGTTGTATGCCACCCTTTAACGATAGAGAGGATAGATGATTTAAAGAACACGGATTTCTCTCATATAGATAATATGCGTGGGAAATTATAATTGACTTTCATTTTTTACATATTAACACAAAATGCAGAACATGTATATTTTTTTGAAGTAGAGACTAGAGAGATTATCTTTTCTTGAATTGTGGTGTGTGGGGGGATCAGTGTTGATTATTAAACAATTATGGAGAACATGTAATTAGTTATACCATATACTAATTTAAATTTTCAAATATACTACACATTGAAATAGTGATACATTTAGATATGTAATGTTGAGTAGAAGCAAAACTTTCAAAAATATGTATGCCATAGTTGGTCTAAAATCACCTCTTGAGTTATTTAGAAATAAGAATATATATATATATTTTGAAAAAAAAAAAAAAAAAAAAAAAAAAAAAAAAAAAAAAAAAAAAAAATTGAATATTGTATTACATAATTGCATATGTTATTATGTAATAAAATATACTTAGCGAGGAGCATCTAATTATGGGCTACCCTAGCATTACGTGCTACTGTTATTTTTCCAATAATATGACATGGGGAATCTTGTAGCCAACCAACACGTAAATGACCTATTGCTTCATGTCCTTCGCACTACTGAGGCAAATGAGGCTTCGAATGCAGCTTATGTGGCATGTTTACCGCTGTATACATACTCTGTCTGTGTGCAGACAGATGCATGGATGGGTGCCTTGGTTTACTGTCTGTGCGCATACAGATGCATGTATACTGTATAGCTTCCTGTGATATGTTACAATGCTAAACAGAAACATGTCTTGAAATACAATAATCAAATCGTCATGTAGAAAAATTGACACCGACTCTACAACCTTACCTGCCTTCTATGCTACTTATGCAGCTTGAAGTTTGATTCTTCTTATTATTTGTTTGTTAATTATCTGAAACTTTTTTGGTATCCTTGATGGAACTTTTCTGACATGTTTCTGACAAATGTATTGCTACTTAAAGGTGGTGAGAAAAGGACAATTGAATTTATGGAAAGTCAAAGCCTTACTGCTTCCAGTATACCTCTTCTGGAAGAGGCTTATGCTTATGGAGTTGTGGAACATCCTTTTCCACTGAATTGCTTGCTAAGGGAATGGCATCTTGGTTCTGACTTCTATCAAGCTGTAAAAATTGGCATTGTTCAATATGTATGTGCTCTTCTATGATCTCGTGTTGGTTTGAATTGCACTATCTTTTCTGAGGTACTCCACTGAAATGACTGCTTTTCAGATGATACTGAAGATGATCTGCGCACTTCTAGCAATGATAACTGAATACGTTGGTGTTTATGGGGAAGGGAAATTCGAGTGGAAATATGCGTAAGATATCCTTGTTTACTCTGTTGTTTTGGAACATTCTAAAACTTACTCATCATTACTGTATTTTACTCTTCCAGACTGCAAGCTGGATTCTTTTAAATAATGGGACTAATTCATTAAATGCCTTGTGCTACGGATGTCAATGCAGCGACCCGCGGGTAACCTTTATTCCAAACCCACCCCACATTGCCCCTGCTTTGGAGTCGGGGGGTGGGTTCGGGTCACCCCACTACATTTTTTTTTTCAAAGAAAATTTCACTCTTGATTAAGTCTAATAACTTTTTGGAAAAATCTAATCATAAGCAAATACATGACAGTCCTAATCACGAAATTTCTTAACTTTGTAGTTAATTTTTTTTTATTATCATGAAAAATAATGAAAAGAAAACAAGAAAAAAAAAAAAAAGGCTTTAATTAATTATAAATCATGTTTTATATATATTTATTACTAATCGGGATGAGTTCAGGGCAGTTCATGTTTTCAACTCTCTTCCCAGACTTGCCCCTAACCCGATTAGAATGCACCAAAGCTGCTCCATTAGGGGTGGGATGGGGCTTTTTTGGGGCGGGTTAAATTAACTTTCCTATCTTTTGTGATGTATTTCTTAAATATAATCTAACAAAAAGGATATATATTTTACTGTAGTTAACTATGTAATTTGCCTGCAGGTATCCGTACTTGGCAGTTGTTCTTAATTTTAGTCAGACCTGGGCCTTATATTGCCTCGTACAGTTCTATTCTGTCACCAAACTTAAATTGGCACCGATTAAACCTTTGGCGAAGTTTCTGGTGTTTAAGTCCATTGTATTCCTGACATGGTGGCAAGGTGTGGCTGTTGCATTTCTTTTCTCAATGGGAGTCTTTAAAGGGTCTTTGGCGCTGGAGTTGAAGACACGCATACAAGACTATATCATCTGTATTGAGGTGCGCGACGAAATGATTCAATTATCTAAATGCCATTTTTCACTTGTGTTTGGCCTGAGGCTATTCAAGGATTTATGTATATTAATGCTGTTTATACATTAACATATAATGCTGCTAAGTTATATCCCTTATACTGTATAAAATTACATTGATAAATTTATTTTGATATGACATTTTTTGAATTGAAAAAGTAACCCAGAACGGTGGGGATTTTATGCACAAAGGCATATGATGTCACCAAGAAATGGTTGAAGGCAGCTAGGTTGAAGTTAGAGGTGATGATGTAGGATGAGAATGATGATGTGGCAACTAGGGTTATGTTCAGTGCTTGAACAAAGGTTTCAGCTGTAATGGTGTTTTGTCAATTCATATTCATTTTAGTTTACAAAGGTCAGAACATGATGAGCAGTCAATGGATTTTGTGAATGCTTGAGTATTTTTCTCCTAACTTGGATCCTCCACTCTGAAGAAGAGGTGAGGCTAGAAGAAGGGGGTGAGAAGACAAATTAAAGTGATGAAAAGAGATTGAATAGATAGACTGGACGTATGGATGAGTTGATGAAAGCAAGCACAGAAGGGAGAGAAGAAGAACAAAGAGAAAAATATGAAGAACACGATACTCAGTATTTCAAGAACTAATGAGTTCTGTTGCATGTAGCTTTTTATCGGAAAACCCTAAAGAAAATAAAATAAAATATTCAGTAAGTACTAAAAATAAAAATACTAAGATATCTCTAAGAAAATGTCCCTGCGGCTACCCCTGCATAGGTGGGAAATCCTCATGATCTCTCTCAATTGTTTGGATAAGATTATAGCCTTACTTGAGGAGAGGATGGGTTTTATTGACCGTCCATTGAGGGGTTTCGCACCTACGTCAGGCTTTAGCGTAGGGACAATTTGTTAGGGATTAATTTTAGTATTTTCATTACTAGTGCTTACCTGATATTTTTTAGTATATATTATTATCTTATTTTCTTTTGGGTTTCCATATGAAATGTTGCGTGTGACAGTTCTCATTAGTGTCCAGAAATATTGATTATGGTGTTCATATTTCTTTCTTTGTTCATCAACTTCCCCTTCTGTTGCTTTCCTCAAATCCTGTGTCTGTCCAGTCCATATATTCATTCTCTCTTCTCATCCCTTTCATTTGCCTTCTCACTCTCTTCTTATAGCCTAACCTCTTCTCATCCTCTTCTTTATTTCTATTCAACATCACCCTGATTTCGAAGTATTTCAGTCTTATATCCCATCATGCATCAAATGAGGGTCAGAGAAGAACAGAACAAGGTCTAGTTTGAGAGGCGAAGGAGAATTGAAGAAGTTGTGTGGGCTTTCAAAAATGATGAGGGGAAAGGATGTATGGAGGAAGTGGTTTCTTACCCTCAGAATGGGTAGGATTTTTTCTAGGGAGAAGATGGAGAGATGTTTTGCTTTCCGGAGCGTTATGATTTTCCTAATTTATGCATTACGGTTATATTGAGGTTTTACTGTTGTTCATATTATTAATATAATACCAACTGTTACCTCTGGGATTTCTCCTTTTGAACGACTGTGTGGTAAGCCTCCTGATTACTTTCACTAAAAGTTTTGGCTGCGCCTGTTTCTTTCTTCTTCCTAAAACCCAAATGGTCTGAGATATACCTTAGGAAACTGAAGAAGACAAACCTACAGAGGAAGAGACTGAAAGAGCATTCGGCTGATGGGTGGAAAGGAGCATCTGCAACTGCTTAGCAATCAAAGACAGCGTGGGAGCTGGCAGTGAGGTCTGAACCCAAGATGATGCAACAACAGCAGTATTGTTTCCCTTATTCTTTGAAGACTGTTGTTACTGTTGATAAACCTCCTTATTCACTAGTTTAGGACACTGAGCCTTCCAGTGACCCTTTCGTCAACAAAAGCTGCACCTGTCAAAACCAACTCTAGCACATTGCCTGCTCTGTGCACTAGACTGAGTGTTAGGAGGAACAACCAAGACAGTCTGACTTGTTAAAGAAAGAATTCCTTTTCCTGGGGCAGCTTTAAGACGAACTTCTTTAGCCAACAATTCATTAACTACTGCATCAACAAAGGGAGGGGACTCCGATGAAGAATAGAGCCACAGAGACCCTCAAAGATTTCCAAGAGCCATAAAAAATTTCACCAATCTCTGCTCTTCTCTGCCAGTGCGATGCTGCTCATAGAAACTCAGTCCTGCAAGCTCAATGAGAGCCAACTGATCCCAATACCCGGTCATAACTGAATAGAACTCTTGTATACTCCCATCACCTTGTCTACCAGCCCGAATCTCATTTTCCAACTGATACCATTTAGCAAAATTAGATTGCACATACAACTCGGACAAATAATCCCAAATTTCTTTGGCTGTAAAGAATTTAGCCAAATGTACACTATTAGATTGATCTACAGAATTATTTATCCAATTGATTATCTTGGCGTTATTCACTTCCCAAGTTGACAATAATTCAGCATAGTTCTCAGTCCTTTTATCGGAAGGAGTAGTCACAGTTCCAATTACATAACCCCACATATTTTTACCCAATAGAAAGTTTTTCATCACATATGACCAACAAGAATAATTGTCACCTGTTAATTTCACACTAATTGCCTGAAGAGAACCAGCACTGCCTATGACCATCTTTAAAAATTAATTTTGACTACACTCCAATCAAATATCCAATGTCACGGAAAAATTATGCGAACAGAGAACTCGTCTTCAAAGCCCAAGAGAACTATTCAAAATCAAGGTGCAAATAGAGAGAAAATCAAGGTTCTGCAATTAGGATTTGTGATTGCTGTGAAAGCAGAGGACTGGTGTGAGAGTTGCAAACAGAAAAAAAATGCTGCGATCTGTTAGGATTGTGAAAGGAGATGCTGTGATTGTGAGTTAGGGTTGCGATGCCGGTTGCCTGCGATTAGGGCTGCGATAATGTTTGATGCTGTTGCGAATTGTCAATAACAATAGAGGTGCGATGCAATGCAATGCGATATAGTCTCAAGGATCCCAAGTTTTTATGCATTTAGGGCTCTAATACCATGTAAACAAAGAAGAGAGACGAAAGTCGTATTTCGTATATTGCCTCAATTGATGATTACAGAATAATACAATAAAAAGTAAATAAAATATTCCTTAAAGAGAGCTGACGAACTAAAGAAGGGAAAGTACAATGTTGCCCTCCAAATATAAAGTAAATCCTCTTAACAGATATCACATGTTTGTGTTTTAAATTGTGAGCACAAAAATGAGTATCAATTCATAAGTTTTTATTGCCACATGGACTGGTGCAAATTTGGCCATACGCAAGTATGGGTATGTAACTTTCTGTTGTGTCACGTGTGACATGCCAGTGCAATACTATCTGCTGTATATGTGGGCATAAATATATGCACAGCGGCACAGGTATGTAATTCTATGTTCAAATTACTGACCTGTGCGTTATTACAAAATTAGGGCTTCAAGGACATTTAGTTTGGTAATATCTTCTGAACTTCATCAATTGAGTATTTTGACTTTGTATGTTCATGGTTTGTTGAGTTTTTGGCCAAAATTTCATGGTTTAGTAATTTTTACTTTTCTCTTTCACTCTGCACATATTATGTGCTCGGCCTTATTTCTAAATATTCAGCAATATAATTTAGGAAAAAATATATATATATTCAGCAATAACAGCTGTTCTGTTTCACAAAGAAACAAAAAAGTAGTTGGAGGTTCATTGGCCTTGTGTCTTCCTTTTGCCTTTTTCTCGAGTCTGGGCATCTTGTAATGAAATGGAGATGGAAACATAAAACCTTTATATTGCTAGCATACTCTTGCAGGAATAAATGTTTATTTTATACTAGTTTACTAGTTTTGAAACTTTATTACGGTTTGAGAGCCTGTGCTGAAATGTCTTGTATTTTATCCCCCCACCTTTTCCCCTTCACCAACAAATAAGTCACACTTCTCTCTACCATTTCAACATTTGTCCATCTCTTGTTTATTCTCATTTTACTACATTCTTACTTCTTCTGCTCCATACTAATATGTAAACCACATCTCTTGGTTCCGCTGATTGAACCACCTCGGATACATCCAAGCCCAGTATTAGCTCCGGCTCTATATTTGGCCTTTGTCTGGATTAGTTGAAAATTTGGAATTAGGGCTGGATTAGTTGGATGAGCTTGTAAGTGCGAGGTTTGTGGCAGGGCTTATGGAGGGAGAGAAATAGGAGATCCTTCGAAGGTGTTGAGACTCCTATTTGGGTGCTTAAATTCTCTATTCTTAGTTCCTTATTTTGTTGGGTTCATGGGAGAAACTATGTATCTATGGGGGATTTGGTTGATTTTGTGGTTGAGGGTTTAGAAGTTCCTTTTGACTTTGTATAGTTTTATTCGGGATACGCTCCACTCTTGAGCGCTCTTTAATGAATCTTACTTGTCAAAAAAAAACCCTTGAATGTAAGTGCGGTCTTAAAATTCAATCCTGATGCATGGCCAGATTTCCTGCCTAGATGCACATGAGGATAGAGAATGTTCAATGTGCTGCTATCTCATATTGTCCGGTAGCCGGATCCAGTAAGAGCAGCAACTCTTGAATCAGTTCTTGCCTTCATAAACTTAACAACCCAACAATTCCCCTCATATGGCGTTACCAATTGCAGTATAGTTCAATAGGGCAATATTAGTTCCTAGTGCAAGTTGTAGTATATGTATATTTCTTTACCATTAAGAAACCTATATGTTAATGCCTCCTACAATATACTTGCCTCCTACAATAATACTTCTTATACAGTAGCACAAGTTTTCTTGGTTGGTGAAAGAGACCAAGCTTTTAACAATAATAAGGTATGATACATAAAATTAGTCTTCACAAAATAATGCTCTATTCTTTTCATGGTGAGTAAAATTTCTGATAGGTATGCATATGTAGACAGAATTTTGTCTTTTGATTTCTGAAAGTTATTTTTTTTTTTGATAAGTGATTTCTGAAAGTTATGGAGGCTATATTTTTGGAGACTTCTGATGTGAACTTATCAAACAGATGGGTATTGCTGCTGTGGTACACCTTTATGTTTTCCCAGCAGTACCTTACAAGCGTGGAGAAAGATGTGTACGCAATGTTGCCGTGATGGCTGACTATGCATCCTTAGGAACACCTCCAGATCCAGAGGAGGTTCAAGACTGTGAAAGATCTACTAAAATACGGCTTGCTCGGCATGATAATAGAGAGAAGCGTTTAAATTTCCACCAGAGTGTACGTGATGTGGTCGTTGGAAGTGGTGAAATTGTGAGATTACTAAACTTCACATTTTTTTAGTTACTGATTCTTAAATTTTTGCTCAGTTCTGATCACTCTCTGCCTGTGGATCCTCTGTTCTCATGTTCTTGTTAGATGGTTGATGACATGAAATTCACAGTTTCACATGTTGTGGAACCAGTTGAAAGGGGAATTGCGAAAGTAAACAGAACTTTTCATCAAATATCTGAAAATGTGAAACGGTATGAGGAGCTGAGAAAGAACTCTAAGGATGATAATTATCTTATCCCCTTGAATTCATGGTCAAAGGAATTTTCTGAAGTGCACGATAACCTTATTGAAGGGAGCGTCAGCGACAGTGGTTTGCCTGATGGGAAGAGACCACAGTACCAATCCAAAGCAACACCATATCAGTTTAGATACAGTTGATTTCACATTCATTCATTGAAAAGGAAGATTCTAATGAGATTGTGAATTTGTGATGTCCATACGATGCCAATATACTTGGTCAGCACACTCATGAAGGCTTTCTTAGTTTCCCATTTATTTTCAGATAAATAATTAAATTCATTTATGAAATAGAAAGAAGTCGTATGAAAGTTCTGATGGGATGTTTCCTTTCTAGGTGAGGTTCCTGGGAGACCAAAAATATCATGATGCTTTGTTACTGTGGAAATATTTGGAGAATTTTTAAAGAGCACTAACTACTACCATTAGTGGAAGTTGATCAAAGAATTTGCTGCAGAGCCAATGACAGTACAAAAATATTAGTTGTTTAAACAGGCACTTGTTTTGACAAATATACATATGATAGAATTGGAGAAGCGAACATTTCATCTGTAAAGTTAAAGTACATACATATTATGGCTATTAAGTTTATCTTAGCCCTCGATGTCTTTACGTATTTCTCAGCTTTTACTCAGATTAAAATGCCTCAAGGAGGACCACTCAGATTGGTCATGAATATCGTCTTCTTCTTTTCAATGTTCTCTTTTTCTTTTCTCCATGTTAATCTGAGGAGTGTCCTCCACTTTATGTTAGACCTGTTATGAGATTAACTTTGTCTTGGACTTGCCTTTTCTTGCGTTGCATGGTTTTGAGAGGTAGACAGAGTAGCCAGCTGGTCCTAGTGAGGTTTTGAGTTTGCATGTCTGATTGAACCCGGGTTCTGCACATCCACAATGGAGTAAACGGGGACAATTGTAATTTTTACGAGCTCATGATCTTTAAGTTTAATTAATTTTATTTGGCTTTATTTGGCAAAATTATGTTGTCATTTTTGGTTTTGTTGCTTTGTTTTGGGTCTTATATGACATGTCAAATATTGGCGAAGTAGAATTGCAAATGAGCCGAGCCGAGCCGAGCTTTGGATTGTTGGGGCTCGGCTCGTTATATCCGGAGAGGTGCTCGGGCTCGGCCGAGCTTCGCCTAAGCAAGCTCGGGCTCGGCTCGGCAGAGATTCAACGAGCCGGGCTCCATTTTCAAGAAATCATCCATGAAATCCGACCTCCGACAAGAATGAAATCCATCTGATTTCCCTCTCCGATACGAATGAAATCCATTCGAACTCCATCTTTGACAAGAAAGAAAAAATAGAATTATAGAACAAATTTTCAAAAAGACTGCAAAGCTTCCAAGGTTTTACCGACTCGATCTACAGTATTGTTGCACAGTTTCATGTTAGATCCTTTAAGAGAGAGAATGGGAGAGAGAGAGAGAGAGGAGGTCTGTGTCGCGTGGTGAGGGCTGCTGGCGATGGCTTTCGCGAAGCTGAAGAAGGGAAAAGAAGAACATGTGGCTCTAGTAGACTTTTAGTTCTAGGTTATACATATCTCTTAACTTTAGTGAATATACGGCTGAGATGTATTACATATCAATGGTACAAGAGCTAAGGTTATGTGTCATGTGTCAATGCCTAGAGAATCCAAAGAGGTGAAAAAAAGTAAACAAAAGAATGCAAAGATATAAGATTATGCACATGTTTGCAATTTATTATTTATTATTTAGGGTACTGAGTTTAATAAAACCAATGAGTCCACCCATGTGATTTTATATATATATATATATATAACGAGTCTTGTTCACGAACTCATACGAGTCGAGTCTAACGTTGTTCGGGCTCGACTCGTTTACTAAATGAACCTAGAAATTAGATTTGAGCTCAGCTCATTTGCTTAACAACCGAGCCCGAACCTTCATGAACAGTTCGGTTCATTTACAACCCTAAACAGAAGAGTTTAAATTTTTAAAAAACAGGTGAGGTTGGTTTTGTGATAGAAGGTTGGAACTCTGGCTTCTTCCTCGTAGACTCTTTTGGTGTGAGATGATGAGTGAACACATATCCATGATTTGTAGGTGTATTTTGTATTTAAAAGAAGAAACAATTCCTTTTGTGTTTGAGATAATATCTATGCATGTTGAGTTAGATTTGGGATTTTTTTAATATTATTATTATTATTATTTTGGTGGTGGTGAAAATAAAAATAAAAATAAAAAATGAAATGTTATGACTGCAACCATCTACTTATGATCTTTGGTTTTAGCATGGTGATTGATTATTGTTCTTTTGTGATTAAGTGAAAAAAGGAATACTAATATATATGGCAACTTGTGTTTAAACGTTAACACACCTTAGAGTAGTTGTGTATATTTTTTTTATAGGTAAATTTGATGTGTCAATAGATTCATTATTTTGGACTATTTATCTTTTGTTCGGAATCATTATTTTATAGTCAGTAATAACCAATTACACATAACTTATACAAACTTACTCAATAGATTACTCAATAGAGAGGTAAAAAATATATATATATACTAATATGCTGAAAAGGTTATCTAAAATACATAATAAAAAATTTTAGTTTGGTGTAGTAGGTTAACTTTTAGGTCATCAACAGCAATTAATATGGGAATTGATGTGATGGATTTTGTGACTGAATTTTTTGGCTCTGGCATTTGCGTGAACACATATGTCACGTGATGCAGACTTCAATCCTTTTTACATGTGGCTAATTGAGCTGCTTGTTGAAGTTTCCCATATTAATAAACTTGGTAAATCTTTTTAGTTTGATTGGATTTGTCTAATAATACAATAATTTTCTTTAGGAGTTGAGTTCGTGTTCATGAACATCTTGTGAGTCTTGGAAGGAAGAAGACGGGTGAATCTTGTTAACTTGAGGATGGTAGGGCGGGATTACAATGGGTGATTCTTGTTAACTTGAGTACGTTGTGAGGGGCCTAGAGTTTCTTCACCACTCCAGCCACACTACAGCGTGCCAACACACTCCACTTATGTCTCCCACTAGTGTTGTAACGCTTCACTCCCTCCACTTGGCACAACATGATGAATAATAATACACTTAAAGCAATTATTTGCATGCCATGTTCCCGGCACAGTTGTCCCCAGGGACATAACGGTGTTGGTAGGGATCCGGGAGATAAGTCTTTGAGATTTATTTTTCGAACCGCACTCCTGAATTGGGATGCGTGTGTTGTGGGGCCAATGCATGTGCTCTAAGAAAAAAAAAAATGTTTCCAACACAATTATTTACACACTATGTTCCCGGGAGTGTTTGATTTCCATCTCGAGCTTGACCAATTGACAAGGTCGTCCCATGAATGATTCAAAATGGAGAACCTACATTTGATCTTGGATGAACTTCTGAATAAGTGAAGTGAAGGTCTGGAGGATGCAAAGCTTACGTAGGTGATGGTGAGCCACTGCTCTATTGTCAATGAAGTTGTTAAAGATTGGATGGATGATTCAAGCGTAAGGGCGAGCGGAGTCAGTTGTCAAGACAAAAAGTTTGTAGCTCTACCTCCATTGTTAATCTTGCGCTTGAAGAAGTTCATTTATTCATCTGAGTAATGATATAAAAATTGACTCGGTTTTTGTCGCATATGGTGTGCGTCGTGGGGTACAACCAAATTTGTGTAAAAGAGTGTGACCAAGTTTTAAATTTATAAATGTCACTACTACCTCTAACTAAAAATATAGCTAGGGTGAGTAGGGATTTTCCCAAGGGATTTTAGGGTTACACTAGCAATGGAAATAATAAATAGGGTTAGTAGGTCGAGTGATCAAGAAATGGTGTGTTTGGTTGATTAGACTACAAACTAAACTAAACAAGTTCAATATAAAATAAGTAATTTAAATGAAATTTAGAGATTAGGGCACTAGGTGTTCAAACACCCCTAAGGACTTACAAGCTCAAATCAACTAGATTACAAATCAAAACAACCTCCATCTAATCATTTCCCACTTCTTTTCTTTTGGAGAAGTCCTCACTTTTTTATTACTTTTGCAACTTCTTCTTCGTTTTTTTTTTTTTTTTTTTTTTTTTTTTTTTTTTTTTTTCAAGTAAGTTCAATTATTAACCTAGAGTTTGGGCCCTCTACTTTTCCGCGAGAGAAATTCAGTGCTTGATGAGGCTAGAATCCTGGTTACTCAATGAAAAGGGTTTGTTATCCACTTTTGTCAACATGAAAGCTTTCAATATCCTACTAGCCCAATTGGGATATAACCAATTCAATAATCAACAAAACATGTACCCCACAAATGAATGCTAGTGTGCGCCTGTGCTAGTGTAGAATCCTAGAGTGAATCTCAAAAATAATCACAAAATCAGGATAATGTGGACCACAAGTGTAAGCAAGATATCAATCTTTCGAAAAATTTACTCCTAAATGGCATCCACAAGGCATACAAGGAGTATTAAACTCTCAAGTCAAGCAATTTTTAAATTCTAAGTAATATAGTCCTCAAAAGATTAAAATCATAGCTAGTTATGGACTAATCATAGAAAATCCCTCAAACACATAAGTCATGCTTAAAATTTTGAATTGAAAACAAACACTGCAATTAACACCATTATCCCCAAACTTAAATAGCACAATGTCCTCAATGTACAAAGAGAACAAAATGAAAGAGTATACCAGTGCAACTATGGCAGAGAATGGCCGGGACACAAGTATCCAAAGTGGGTGGTATTACCCCCCCCCCCCCCCCTAAAAAAAAACTTGGAATTAACTGCGGTCCTGAAAAGATGGCACTTGGATAAAACTTATAATAACAGTGCACAGTGGATATGCAAGTGTAAATGGGATAATAAATGAACTAAGGAGAGAGGAATAAGGGTGGTCTTGAAAAATTTGGGCAGCACTTTCTCTCACTGAAATCATTAGGATGCACCTGATAAATGGAGTCAATCATAGACAGATATATCAATATAAAATTCCGACATCCAAAAATATCATGCACAAAAAGAAATAATGTATAGCACATCACAGTATCAGGGCCACCAGACTGGCTGCAAAAATATCAAAACAGTAGCAATGTAACAGTAATGTATCACAGATATATAAAAATGATGGGAGTAAAGAGATAGAGAGATCAGGCAGAGGAGGTCGGGCAAGCAGGGCGTGATATCCGGATATCTCTGGATATATCTCGTAGCGCAGCCATGACATCTGAGCGGAGAGATGCCACACCAGTGCTGAGGGAGGCCACATTGGACCGAAGAGAGACAACGGCGTCCTCCAAGGTCTGTATACGCTCTCCTAAGCCGGGTGTTGGAACTAGAGTGTCAGATATGACTGGGTCAGGGGAATGATGCTCATCCTAACTAGGCTTCGGGACATGTAGTGGCGACCTTGCCTGAGAGTGATGTGGTGACTCATGTGCTGGCTTTCGCTCTATCTATCTCCATATGTACCGTAGCCGCTAGTGCGTCTACTAGATCGTCCGCTGCTGCTACTGCCATCATCTCTGCCTCCTCAGCCTCTGCAACCTCCTCTGCTGCTAGGATAGTGTCCTCCTCCAGGCTATTGATAAGAGCATTGTAGCTCTTATTCTAATCCTTCTTGCCGTAGTGGCAAGCCCCGG